CATAAGAATAAGAATTTGGAATATAGAATAATAGAATATTTGGAATTGTCTCGTTTTATATAATTATTTTTATTTTTAAATTTTACTCCTTTATTTTTCAATTTAAACAATTTTATATCATAATTTATCTTCAACTTGTTCTTTATAAAGAAATTTCTCTTTCTCCTTCCATCTTCAACATACGATCTCCATATCATACTCTTAAAAACTTTTTCAACATCAAGATATTTAATCACCTTGCCTCTCTTTTTAATATTTGTTTTAATTTTCTTTATTTCCAAAGTTTTTTTAAATTTTTTATTAATTATAAAATTTTTTATTTTATTATTTTCTCTAATTTTTTTTTCATTATTGTTTTTAATCACTATTATTTCTTCAATTGTTATCCTATGATTTATTTCTTTTAATTTATAAGAATTTATTTTTTTTTAACATTTAGTATTAAAATTTACATAATTCAATTTAAGTTTTTATTTTGACTTTTAAAATTTTTATTAGGATAAGATATATTATTTGATCTAGATTTTTCATTTATCTCTTTTACCTCTTTATAATTACAAAAACATTTTAATATAGATATTGCTTCTTCATAACTTGAACTTCCATATATCGGTAACATTGTGTCCATAAGCAAATATAAGTCATCTGGTAGATTAAATGTTAAACTCAAGCTTTACTCTCATGGTATATTAAATAATCTTCTAATTCATCTCTGGATTTTGTTTTATTCTTGTTGTCCCATATAGGTTTATTCATATTTTAAATATTTTATTATTAAAATTTTATTATGCAAATATTTGAGGTCCATTAATAATAAGTTCAGTAAGTTAAGGATTCGCTTGGAAGTGGATATAGTTTATATTCAAGAGACGCATTGGACTAATCCTGTAAGATATACTGCAATGGCTATCAATTTATTTTCCCCAGCGAGACTGGTAAAACTGGTGTGGTGTATGTTTAGTCATAAAAAATGACATGGAGAGTTACTTATCAAATTTTAATGCTCTTAACAGTAGAATATGAAGCATTAAATTAATCGAGATATAAATGTCTTAAAATTGTAAATGTTTCGTTGCCATAATTATTTTTTTAAAAAATAACTTCTTCCCAAGTTTATCGGAGTGCCTGAATAAATTTCCAAAACTCAAAGGATTCTTGTTAATAGGTGATTTTAACGAAGTCGAACTATTGTGGGTGAAAATTCATAATTCCCTATGTTCAGGAGCTCTAAATATGAACTAGGGTGCTAGAGGGAAACAACTTTTGGGTATTTGTCTAAATCAACCTATCATCGGGAACACTCAGACTCCAGAGAAATATTTACTTGCTTTAGCGCATCATATAATACCTCGTCCCAAATATATCATTTTATTTGCTCTAATGAAACGATTGGAAAAATAAACAGAATTAAGGTTCACCGCAGGCTTAATTCGGAACACAGAATTATTATCTCCTATTTAAATATTTATCATAAAATATGACACAAAAGCAAAAGAAAGGATGAGCTAATGAGTTTTAAAATACAAAAGAGGAATAAGTAAACAAAAATTAGAGAATATTTACTGAATATAAACATTTTGCAAGAGGATAGATATAACTACAGACAGACTGGGTAAATACATGCGACATTTTTATAAAATTATCAGTAAATTCCTTGCCCATTAAAGATAGATACCAGGAGTGGATCTCAACATTAAGGAATCTAATGCGCCCCGGTCTTCCCTACTAAAAATATTTGAAAGAAACAGTGAGTAAAAAATTGAAATATTTTAAATTAAATTTATTTTCTTACATGGACCACTCATTTTAAAATGGTTTGTTTGAAATACTTGTATAAATTGTGAATTTTTTGGAAGTTTCAGAGGCCAATTTTTCTCCACATTTTAAAGCTAAAGACCGGTCACTATTTTTTTGACCTAAAAACTACTTGATAGTTTTGAATATTCATATCTATGCTGTCTACATCTTTCACTTATTATATTTCTCCATACCATTGAATTAATTTACATATTTATTTCTTTAGCGTTTTTACCATTGACCTCTTCTATAGGCAGAACACTTAATACATTCTCTTTCCACTCTCTTTCTCACCTTTTTTACTATCTAGGAGTAAGGGAGCTTAATGTATGGTTAATTCTTATCTTTTAATTCATCACTACTTATAATTAAGCTGTGCAAAAACTAAATATATAGGTTTTGGAAGAATAATTTAACAAAATCTTATCCAAAATATTTTATTTATTATCCCTTCCATTCATAATGCCTATATTATTTTAAGAGGAAAGAAATTGAGCTAAAAATTTAATTTTAAAATGGCAAGATATTCTCTTGAAAGGAAATACCCACTATTTGCATTGGGATCATGACAATACTTTTTTATATAGCCAGGGCCGTAACTAAAGAAAAGAAGGAAAAGTTTCAATCAAAATGGAAAATAGATTTTAAAAAAAAGTTAAATCGAAAAGATAAAGATCTTATCAAGAAAAATTCACAAAAATTGTTTTCTTTTTACATTAATTCTATAGTAAAGATTAATCATAATGAGATCTGTCATATATGACAATATATGAGGTGATAAATAGAAAGAAAAGAGAGATGGGAATTGGAAACATTACAGATGTTCATTCATTATTATTATTAGCATTAATTTTTATTATATTTTTTAGTTGATTTGAATATTTTTTATATACATGAAGATATTGGATACAATAAAACGGTTGACATAATTTTAAATATATATTATAATTATTATATTGTAAATACCTGAATTTAAGGGTATAAACATATAAAGATAATTAGTTGGTAAAAAATTAACAATATAATTAAAACAAACCATATTTCATAACAAGACGATCCATATTTATTCATTAAAAAAATATCCATTAAGAAAAATATAATATAATAAATCATAATTATCCAACTCTCCATCTCACAAGGTCCATTCTTTGTTCCTCGCTGACATCTTCTCCCATTAATCCAATTCTTCATCCTAAATTTTCAACAAAGGACTTTTTATTGACCATCCACCATGTGATGATCCACCTCTTCTTCTCCACCAAGGAACACTCAAATCCCCTGTCAGAAAATAACTGACATTTGATATATTAAATTAAATTTGTTTCTTATTTTTTTCAACAGCTACAACACGCCCACCCTTTACAAGCCCAGCGTCCCTCTCTCTGTGGTGGTGTTGTATCGAATCGCCCTTAGAATTGTATCGAATCGCCCCTTTAAATTTTATCGACTTTGAATGGTATCGATTTTAAATTGTATCGAATCACCTCTTTGAATTGTATCGGGATGCCTTGAAGACGTTCAGGGAATTTATCGAATCGTCTCCCCGTATGATGATTTATAATATAATATCTCCGATACCTTTCAATATATAATCGCGAAAACACATATTACCAATAATGACAAGTACATTGGGGTATCTGCATTTACAATCTATGGAACATTAATATGGACAATATAATATCAGCCCAAGCATAATAATTCATTCATTTTAAGACATTTGGGAAATATGAGCTATAATATACATTATTTGGGTATGATTCATGGTAATTAAGAAATAATGATTTTACATATAATAATGTAATGTGAACATATGGTCTGTGTGTGAAATGCAATTTCAACACATGTAATTTTCCTTCTGTCATGTGAAAAAAAACAAAGCTACATCTTTATAAATATCTCCTAAAATAAATATACAAATCCATCTTTAGGTATTAAAATTAATTGCGAAACTTTGCCGAACAAAGATTTTAAATAAAATTACAAGACATATGTATAGAAATAAATTTAATATTTTATAGGGAGGAAAAATATATAATATGTAGAAAATAAAATATTTTCCATCTAGGAATTACTCAGTATCCTAAGAAAAATATCCCATTTCTACCTAACTCTGCCATCACAATTAGCACAAATTCACAAAAATGTAGAATGCAAAGTAACAAAAATTGAGAATATAATGGGCTATATGGTATATACGTAAAGAATTTTTAATGTACCTTCACAATATAAAATAATTTGAGTCTTTTCTTTAAAAAAAATGTTCATAAAATAAATAGTAAAATGTGATGTGTTATAAAATTATTACAAAGATAAAAAAAAATGTATTATGCAGTATAAATTTCAAAAAAAAATTTACACCAAAAAAAAAAACTTTCTCCAGTATGCAAACTAAACAATATTTTCACCTCAAGGCATACCCCTCAACATGGGCTGACCTTATCTGTAAAAATAATTTCCCTTCACATCATTGCATACCATAAAAATAATATAATAATTGCAAATAGAACTTTTTATAAAAATTTTATAATTAAAAAAAAAATATATATATTAAACAGGGTTGGCATGTCGGTCAATTGACCGGAGGAGTATTTGACCGGTCAAATACGGTCAAATACTCTATAAATATTTTGATATAATTAACTAGTATGCATTAAAAGCATGTTTATCAATCTTATTAGGTTACAATTATTTAAAAAATTATTTGTATCATGAATTGTTAAAAACAAAAGAATTTTTTTATTGTTAAAATATAAATATGTAATTTTTCTAAATATAGTAATATTTTTAGTTATTTTTTTGCCTAATCATTGCTGTTTCTCGCCTTCTTTATTTTTTTCAATTCATTTTTCTTAAAAAAAATAAAAATACCTGATTTATTATAATCATAATATAATTTTTTCATTCTTATTTTTTAATAAATTTAAATTTTATTTAATATTTAGCCGAGTATAAATTATATTAATCCTCATTTGTTTTACTTACACTTGCTATATTTGGTTTTTAAAATTAATTTTCATTTTAATTGTTCTGGTCAGATTTACGGAATATTATTCAATTCTGGTAAAAAATTATATATATTATATTATATTTATAATATTAAGAAATTATTGGAATAATTGGTCGATAATTATAAAATAGTTAAGATTGATTAACTTTACAATAATCAAAATCATTTTTTGTTAAATTTTAATATATTAGGGATTATGATCAAACCAAAGCATCATGTTTGGAAACATTTTCAAGAAGTACGCGATGGTAAATCAGTTAAAGCGGTGTACAAGTTTTGCAAGATGTCCTATATCACCCACGTTAATAGAATGGTCAAACATTTATTAAGCAGCTGTACTATGTGCCCTGTTATAATTAAGGAAAAATTTTATTCAAATTCCAAAATATCAACCTCTACAAAAAATATCACAAATGTAATTTGTAATACTTCTAAGTCTAACTCTAATGAAGAATTGGGTGAAATTAGTGAGAATGATTATCAAATGAACAATATTTTGTCTTGTGACTCAGGAGAATTTGATTCCATTATTTCTAATCAATCTACAAGCAAGGCGATTAAATATAAATCTCAATCTTGTATAACCGGTTTCATAGATAGAATTAATCCCAAAGAAAAAAATGAGCTGAATCAATTGTTTGCAAAGGCTGTATATGCGAGCAATTTACCTTTCCACATCACTGAAAATCCCTACATCCAAGAATTTTTTAAAAAAATACGTCCTATTTACACATTACCCAGGAGAAGGCAGCTGGCTGGATATCTTCTAGACAAAGCGTCAGGTGATATGGAGGTGAGAGTTGCAGATATAATAGATAAAGCTCCTTACTTATCAATTGTATCAGATGGCTGGAGCAACATTAGAAACGAGAGTATTATTAATTTTATGGTGATGACGCCTGTTCCAGTGTTCTACAAATTTCTAAATACTGAGGAAAATCGCCATACGGCAGATTATATTGCCCAGGAATTTAAAAATGTAATTCATGAATTGAATCCGGTAAAAGTATATTCTTTAGTTACTGATAATGCCGCTAACATGAAAGCAGCCTGGAGAAGTCTAAAATCTGAATCTATTTATAATCATATACAATGTTATGGTTATGCAGCGCATACATTGCAGTTATTCTTTCACGATTTTGAACGATTGAACGCCTTCAGTGACCATATTTCAATAATTAAAAAAATTGTTAAATTTTTCAAGAATAAACACATACCAGCTGCAGTATTTTCCCGTAATAAGAATCTTCATGGCATACCATCTACATTAAGTACAATTAGCCAAACAAGATGGGCATCGTCAATAAAATGTATGGAACAAATTCAAATATGCAAGAAAGCTCTAAAAGCATCAGTTGTTGAAGAAGCTGTTTGTGATATTTGTCCCATAGAAATTACCAATAATATATTAAACGAAGAATTTTGGACGAAAAATTTAAAATTTTTAGCTATACTCCAACCTTTAGCTACCTTTGTTGAAAGTGCAAGGGGATAAATGTACTTTGGCCCAAGTAAAAAACGAGATGCTTAATTTGGAAAAACACATAATACAATCATGCCATGATACATGTGCTCACAATGCTGCTTATTTATTGGACCCCCAATATCAAGGGGAGCATCTTACTAATACTGAATTTGATGAAGCATGTAATATAATACAAGAATTGGGTATTTTACAAGGTGGTGATAATCAAAGTATTTTGAGTAATATAGTAAATTTCTGAAGCAAAAGCGGTATATTTAATAGCCATAATATGTGGAAAGTTGTAACTTCCATAAGAAACAATCAAATTTCGGCCTCAAGTTGGTGGAATGCATTTTGCCCACCTTGCCCATTAAGAGAAGTCGCTAATATTTTACTAACATTTCCTAGTTCGACTTCTTCTTCTGAAAGAAATTGGTCGGTTTGGGGCAATATTCACACGAAAAACAGAAATAGATTAAAGGCTTCTAAAGCAGGAAAATTAGTAAGAGTGTATCATAATTTAAGATTGATTAAAAATATTAAAGAAAATAATGATATTGTAAATGAATCGGAACAAGACTCTGCCACGGAGGGTGAAACATTGACTATAGAATGAATTAAAAAATATTATGATATTTATTATTATACATAGATTTATTATAATATTATATAAATGCAAAATAAAGTTAATATTGGTGTAAAAAACATTTATTTGAATTTGACCGGTCAAATATCGGTCAATTGACCGAATTGTATTTGACCGGTCAAATGCACAACCCTGATATTAAATTTAAAGATTTCATAATTTGGGAAAAAAAAAATATTATACATCATCTGATATATCATATAAATTCCTATCCAATTTATATATATACTAAATACATCATCTGATATATCATATAAATTCCTATCTAATTTATATATATAATAAATGCAGACACTAAATCAAAATAACTATTATCTTTCATAATTAAATATATCATATGTGTAATTCACATTACACCCTATTTCATAAAAATGGTTAATTACTTCAAAATAAACAACATTAACTCACCCTCAATAGATCCTTTAATATACCAACCTTAATTGAAACTAAATTACAAATACAATATATTAACATTAATTAATAATAAATGATCCCACACATGTCCATCCCTTTAAAAACCCAAAATGCATAATTGTAATATACACTTTATTACAAAAGTCTATTTCCATATATATTTTCCTAAATTTCAAATATTTAAATTTAGCAATCCTTTCTGTCCTGCTGATCATGAGGTCTTTTATCTTCCTATGACGGAATACCTATAACACCATTCAATGAGTCTTAAGGCATATCAAATAATAAACAAAATTGGATGTACCATATACATCTAGACCTATAATATACCAAATATTACTGTCTTAAATTCCTGATCTTATTTTCATATTCCTGCCTAATACCCATTACATACTTTCTATCGTTACCTTTGTAAGCTAAATAACAACAATCTAATATCTATCCATTAAGAAAAATATAATATAATAAATCATAATTATCCAACTCTCCATCTCACAAGGTCCACTTTGTTCCTCGCTGACATATTCTACCATTAATCCAATTCTTCATCCTAAATTTCCAACAAATGACTTTTTATTGACCATCCACCATGTGATGATCCACCTCTTCTTGTCCACCAAGGAAAACTCAAATCCCCTGTCAGAAAATAACTGACATTTGATGTATTAAATTAAATTTGTTTCTTATTTTTTTCAACAGCTACAACAATAATATGTTCTATTTTAGATATTTTTGTCATATATTTTAAAAGGTTATAATATTCAATGTTATTCAGTGGCGTAGACAAGGGGAGGGGGGGTGGGGTTGAATTACCCCCCTCCCCCCCCCCATGGAAAAAAATGTTTTTTTTTTAAATTAATTTTTTTTTTTTTATAAAATAAAAAATTATTATTTTTTTATTGCGAATAATTATATTTAAAAAACGGTTTCAATTTAGAGAAATAAGATAATATATATTTATAAAAAAAGGAGTTTTAATTTTAAATGATCACATCGTTTAAAAATATATATAAATTATATGAACTAAAATATTAAACAACAATAAGAATAAAGATATATTGTATTTGTAAATAATTTCTGGCATAGTTAAATTAGAATATTAAATAACAATAAAGATATTTTGTAAATATTTTCTGGCTTGGCATAGTTAAATTAGATATTTATAAATTTAATTATTAAATATATATTTTTAAATTTAAACTATTTAGATAGTTTGTTTTGTTTGTAAATTTTAAGTTTTTATCATTTTTAAATATGGATATCCGTAAATTTTTTTGTCAACAACAAAAAGAAAAAGGTATATATTAATTTATTTATAAAATTTAAGTTATGTAATTTGAATTAGAAATATATATGGACTAGTGAAAATCAGCCATCAGTTGAGTTCGAAGGTAATGGTATTATCAATATGTTTTATTTAAATCTTGCAATTAGAAATACCAGACATACCATTACCACTCCATCTCCATGGGAAAACCAATGATGAGTTAGCTACAAAATCATCAAATGATGGTATATATTCTAAATTATTTATAATTTCTAATATTTTTTAATTAAAAATAGAAACATTATGTGTTACAAAAGCATGTGAGCTATCAGTTGATTTGGCTGGAAAATCATCAAATGATGGTATAGTATTTATTTTAATTCCATTTTTTTTATTTGTAAATTATACTATTTTCATTTTGAGTTATTAAAATTTTGCAATGTACGATATTTAGTTATAATTTTAAAGTTAGTCATTTTTTTGTGTTATTTTGCAAAAGGTAGTACATTATAAGTCAAACAGAGTTGAGCAGTATTGAAAACTTGTATCTACAATACAAACAGAGTTGGGCAGGCCCTCCAGAAAAATAATCTAGATACAGATTTGTTGTGAAAAAATGAATCTTAGATACAGATGATTTATCATTACCAATTAAACTAGAATAGTTTATAATATACAGTTTTTATTATTTATTTGTGAAGAACATAATTATTTTCTTAAAATCTTTTGTATATACAATCTTGGGCAGCTATAATATTTAGGAACTTATTTTCATAATTTAAATATTACTACCTTCTTCACTTCCATGAGTGTAAATCATCCTACAAATATAAAAATATTAATTAAAACTGGTAATGATATTCTATAGTAATTTCCTTCTACTTGTATCTGTCTTTAAATTTTTATTAAGAAACTTTGATATCTATCTGAGATACATTTTTTATAATCCAGATTTTTTTCTTGTGCTGCTCAGCTCTTAACATTGAAATTCATATTGAAATATATCATTTAAAATCTAAAAAAAATATAGAAACACCACACCGTTCTCAAAAAGATGTTTCACTTTACTTAAATTTTCATTTTAAAAATGATAATGAAAAATTGTTAGCTGTTCAAAATATTTGGATACCTGACAAATGTTATAAATTTCCATTGCCCTTGGGCAAAAGAAATTTAACCTTTCAAGCATCCTGGCTTAACAAATATAAGTGGCTTGCTTACTCAGCCGATGAAAAGGGCGCATTTTGTAAAGTTTGCGTCATATTTTCCCCAAGATATGCTGGAAATGGGTTACAAAAACTCAAAACATTGGTAAGTCAAGTGTATACAAGATGGAAAGATGCGCTCGAAAATTTTAATTATCATCAAAAAAATAAATATCATCTTAATTCCTGTGAGATAATGGATTCTTTAAAAGAAATCTCAATGAATCAAAAGATATCAATATCTAATGTATTGAATAAAAAAATTTTTGATATTGTTACAAAAAATCGATCAAGAATAATTATAATTATTGATGCTATCATTTGGTTAGGGAGGCAGGGCTTGGCGTTAAGAGCTCATAGGATATCTCCTGGCCCCCTAACACTTACATCCCCTTCTCACAATGAAGGAAATTTCAAGGAATTATTGAAATTTTTATGTAATAATAATGACAACTACCTAAAGCTTTTTGAAAGCTCCTCTAAAAATGCTACTTACCTAAGTCCCACTATTCAAAATGAAATAATATCAATATGCAATCAGTTTATATTAAAGGAACTTTCTTCAAAAGTCAAAGCATCACCATTTTTTAGTGTTTTGGCGGATGAAACTTCCGATATTGGTAATATTGAACAACTATCCATAGCAATAAGGTTTATTGATATGGAATCAGGTAATTATAAAATGAAGGAACTATTTGTTCAATTTATTGAATTACCTGACACTAAGTCAGAAACGATTGCTAATCAAATTATTAAATCACTTCAAAACCTGGATTTAAATTTAAATCTACTGAGAGGCCAAGGGTACGATGGAGCTCCCTCGATGAGTGGCCATGTTAAAGGGGTCCAGTCAAGAATTAGAGAGCTTTATAGCACAGCTCTTTATGTTCACTGCAGTTCACATTGCCTGAATTTGATGATAACTGAGGCATGTGAAATTAGAGACATCCGGAACAGTTTACGTAAAAAGATTTTGATTTAATTGAAATTTATTAGATTTTATTATGTATTATAGATATCTTTATATAATTTTTATATATTTTTCAAAATTTAGAAACAATATCGTCGGTTTGTGACTTCTTTACCCCACCCAAGAAGAGGGAGATTTTTACCCAAACGTTCGATGAAATTGATTCAAAAAAATTCAAAAAAAAAATTCAAAAGATTTTGTCCCACAAGATTCATTGAAAGACAACAATCGGTGAAGGTTTTCATCGAGTTATATGAGGTTATTTTTGCGGCACTGGAATCATACATATTACGCAAAGAAAAAGATTCCGCAGATGCGGAAAATCTTTTACAGGCTATTACGAAGCCTCAATTTTTAATTTCAATTCAATGTGTTTATTTTTTATTTAATTATACATATGATTTTAGCAAAACGTTACAAAAAATTAATTTGGATTTAAGGGAGGTTATGAATAGGGCAAAGGATATTGTTGAAATATTAACAAATATCAGAGATAATGTGGATGAAAAATTTCACGAAATATATGAGAAAGTAAAGGAGATCGCTAATATGTTTGGGATTGAAATTTTTAAACCTAGAGTAGTTTCTAGACAATCCAATCGCTCAAATATTGATGCATCTACGATTGAGGATTTTAATAAAATTAACATTTTTATTCCACTTATTGATACATTTTTATTTCAATTAAAGGAAAGATTTATAAGTCACAATTTTATTTTAAAAAGCTTTTATTTTCTTTTGCCGGTTGAGTCTGAATTGTTGATTACACTTGAAACGCGAGAGGATATTAAGAACATCTCAGAGTTTTATTCTGATGATTTATTAGGGTCGTATGATAAGTTACTTTGTGATGTCGAATTTTGGTATAAAAATCTTGGCAGAATAGAGTACTCTTTGAGACCAAAAAATGCTTTGCGGGCCCTTTCCATGTGTAATTGCACTTTAGATTCCCTGCCAAATATCAAAACATTGTTTTTTATTTTAGCTACTTTACCGATTAGTACCTGCACTAATGAAAGGTCTTTTTCAACTTTGAAAAGGTTAAAAACCTATTTAAGAAATAGCACCGGTGAAAACCGTTTAAATGGATTAGCCCTATTAAATATTTATAAGGAGATTATTCTAGATAAAAATTTGATTCTAGATGAATTAGCCAAATCTCAGAGAAAAGTAGACCTCTCTTTATAAATTCAAATCATATAATTGTAATATTTTCTTAGTCATAAAATTTTTATATGTAAAACTTAATTATAATGAATTTTTAGTCATGATATTTTTATACTATATTTATTAATAGTATTGCACCTACAATAAGAATTATTTATATAATATACTCATTTGTATTAAATATAACTGTTAAATTATATTTTTTTAAATTGCATACAAGAATTACTTATATTTTATTGTAATTTTATTTTTTTTAAAATATAGATATTTACAATCAATTTTTAAAATAGTAATCTGTATAAAATTTCTAATTCTGAAATTTATTTTTTGTATATAAAATAAACACATAGTTAAATAAAGGGTTTATACTAAATAAAATTGTTAAATTGTATTTTTTTAGCAAGAATTACATATTTTATTGCAATTTTATTTTTTTAAAATATAGTTTATTTACATTCAATTTTTAATATAATAATCTGTATAAAATTTATATATTTTGAAATTTATTTTTTTATATATTATTAAAATAAAAACATAGTTAAATAAATAAAGTTAATAATAAATAAAATCTCTGCAAAATATTGTTATATGCAAAAATGTAATTAAAATAATTATTTTTAACATAGAATAAGATATATTGAGTTGATCATAAAATTGGAAGGTTTGGGGGGAGGCAAATTTTTTTTACATCGAATAGAATGAATTAATATACAATTTACTAAACATTGATAACATTTTCAAAATAATGCTTTCCAGTCGCTTATTAATTATAAATTTGGCAAAAATTTTAATTCTAAAAAGGGGTTTGGGGGCGAAGCCCCCAAAAAATTTTCAAACCCCCCCCCCCCCCCATGGATCAATCCTGGCTACGCCACTGATGTTATTCGAATAATATATTTGTCACAATAATATAACGTATTTATATTTAAAAGGTCAATGTAATTGAATAACTATAAAAGTTAAATTTAATAATTATAAAATAGTATATATATGTCGTATTGGGATATGGAATCCCCACGTTTTATTCGTGATCTTTTTTTTAAAATATTTTTTTTAAAAATATTTAAATATTCCGAATCCCCATGAAAAAAAATAAATATATAATTACTTTTCTTCAATTTTTTGCGGCTGGCACCATATAATTAAAAGGCCAAAATAAGGGATTTAAAAAGAGAATTTAAAAAAAAGTAAATAGTATAAAATTAAGGCATATAATAAATGAAAAGGGATGAGGTTTTATTTTAAAAAATATTAATTACTTTTCTTCTCTTTTTTTGCAGCTGGCACCATATAATTGAAATTCCAATGGATTTAATAAGAGAATTTTTAAAAAAAAGTAAATAGTATAAAATTAAGAAATATAATGAATGAAAAGGGATGAGGTTAAGACTTTTTTGTTTTAAAAAATATATTTATAAAAAATCCGAATTATTGCAACATTTAAGCAGGGACCCGAACCGTTATTTATAACGGTTCAATTATAATGGTTACGTTCTGGTTACAGTTCTTGAGAATAAATTTATATAAAGGTTCCGTTCGGTTCAGCTAATTATAAAGGTTCATTACGGTTAGAAATTTTTTTTTATTGAAGCAACACCATCTTTTAATTTATTTTTATTATACCCATCTATGAATTATATATAAAAAAAATATATAAGATTCAAAATAACTCATTTTTAAATATATTATTTGAACTTATATGTAATATATTTTCAAGTATAAATGGATTCCTTTTTGTTCGTTGTGACGATAACACAAAGCCCTTTCTACAGAAACTTGTGTTGCGGGAACCGCCAGTACTATAAGAGCACGTTTATATAATTCTGGATATTCAAATTATTTCCATTTCTAAAATATAAAAACTGAACCGGTTTAACCGTTTTTTATAAAGGTTCTTTTTACTCCCTCAAAAAATAATTATATCGGTTCGGTTACGGTTATGGTTCAGATATTTATAACAAAAATAAATTTTTTTAGAAAAATATTTAAGGGGATTCGGAATCTTTTTTTAAAAAAAACAATTAAATTATATTTTTTTGCCGCCTGGCTGGCACCAGAATATTTTATTTTTTAGAGATAATTAATATGTATTACTTTTATTTTATCCTTTAAATCATTAAATACTCGAAGGCAATATTTTGTTTCACGCCCGAAAATTCACGGTGTTTTTAAATTTTTCAAAACTTTAATGCTAAAATTTTTACACTTTTTTGAATTTATTCTATTTATTTCAACATAATGTTCACATAATAACAAAAAATAAATACATATTATAAATCCAAATTTTTACTTAGAAAAAGAAGAATGTCTATTTTTTTTTATTTCAATTGTGTACGCCTTTCCTCTAATAGGCGGCTGGCTACAGAAAATAACCTTTCACTAGAAGCCGGATTTGCCAGGGCTGACAAAATTTTACTCTCTAATTTTCTCAAAAAAGGAAATAAATTTTCCTTCTTCCAAAACTTCAAAATATTGCCATTGTTATTTGTTTTATTTTTTAAAATTTTATTTTGATAATATTGATATTGGTATAATTTTAAAAAAAAAGATAAAACACTAAAATATTAAAAACTATATAAAAATATGTAAAAATATATGAAATTACTAAATAAAAATATATATTGGTCCTTAGCCTTTTTTTTAAAAAACATTTTGATAATCTCAACTTAAAATTTGTTCGTTGTTATAAATAATTTAGTTTTACAATCTCTAAATGAGTCTGACCTTATTTGGCTCAACCTAAAGATACATAGTATTTTTCCTTATTCATAATTGATTTTTAAAAACGGCTAACTCAACATCCAAAATAACCATTATAATTTTTTATATACTGAACCGTAACCAAACTGAACCGTTATAAATGTTCGGGTCCCTGCTTAAATGTTCAATGAAATGTCATATTGCATTGAATAATTGTTGCAATAATTCGGATTTTTTATAAATATATTTTTTAATATTTTATAAAACAAAAAAGTCTTAACCTCATCCCTTTTCATTCATTATATGCCTTAATTTTTATAATATTTTATAAAACAAAAAAGTCTTAACCTCATCCCTTTTCATTCATTATATGCCTTAATACTATTTACTCTTTTTAAATTCTCATTTTAAATCCCTTATTTTGGCCTTATAATTATATGGTGCCAGCCGCAAAAAAGAGAAGAAAAAGTAATTA